GAGGAGTTTCCATAAACGGTTCTCCCTGTTCTTCCTGGCCTGTTTCGAGAAGACCGGGCAATGGACACACTTGTCCGTCCTGTCACCCTCCCCTAAACAGGCTGTGCGGGTCTGCAGCAGACATTTGAGAGCCACACTCTCCGCACTTGCGGAACGCCACTCGTTGAGCCATCGTGGAAAAGAAGATAGTAAAGCGGGAATAGATAATATTTTTGTTGGTTTTATTTTTTTTTATAAGAACGAGAAACAGGCAAAAAACGAGAGAAAAACGAAGAGAATAACTGGAGTAATATGTTAACGTAAGAAAGGAATACTAACTTGGAAGGAACAAGAGAGAAAGATTCGAACAAGAGAGCACGAGGCACAATCTAAGCGAGAGTGAAGCGGCACGAGGCACAATGAACAGCAGTTGCAAAGACTGGAAAATGGTGGACACTCCGCTCCTTATATACTGGTAGGGGGAGGGGGAGCGGAGTTTCCCGCCAAACCGTTAGCTGTTAATCTTCAGGCCAAAGGCGATGCGCAGGCGCAGAACCCATATGTGTGATGCACAGAGGCCACGATGAAGAAGCTTTTGTTTCCCATCAATTACTAGCGTTTTGGGACAGCTTACAAAAAATGAGTAGAATAAAACACCACAGCATCTAACAATTAAATGCTAAAACCCCAGTTAAGATCAATTAAACAAAATAATGGGAAAATAAAAAGGGTTTTGCCCGAGACCGAAAAGAATATAACATTGGCACCAGGCAAACCTCTCTGGGGAGCGTTTTCCATAGTTGGGGTGCCACCACAGAGAAGGCCGTCCTCCAGGTACTCTCCCTCCTAATCTCCTTCAAGTAGGGCTCCTGGAACAGAATCTTAAGGGGCAGGCAGGGACATCAGGAAAGAGACACTCCTTAAGGGATCCAGGCCCCAAGCCGTTCAGGGCTTTGTTGGTCATCGCCAGCACCTTAAAGTGGGCCTGGACTTCAATTGGCAGCCCGTGGAAGCGATAGAGAACCCCCAGCCCCTTGTCTTCCCATGCCCATGATCGCTCCAATGGGGGCGCCCATCCACTCCCATAACAATACCCAAATATAATACAGTACAAATGAATAACCCAAACTAGGATGCTGTGCATAAGCAATAAAACTGAGCCCTATTACAGAGATGCCACTGGCTCTGTATAAAACAACTATAAATAAGATGGAATTACCAAACTCAAGCCACCCACCCCCATACAAGCCAGCGGAGTCCCCAGCCGAACCCAACCCAACCCTCCCTGGCTCTGAATGGCCCCAGACAGCTATGCCCTTCGGCCACCAGCCCAGGCCATGGCTGGCCAGTTAAGCGCTCTAGTGCAGCTCTGCCCCCCTCCATGGATGCCCCCCACCCTCGACCTCCCCTCTCCCGTGTCAGCGTGGGGGAGCCAAGGCATGGGTGCCGGGGAGCGCAGGACAGCTCTTGGTGGCAGCGGTGGCTTCGTGCGGCCCTCGCGGCAGCGGGCAGCAAGTGGTAAGTCCCAGCTGATGCGGGGAAACCCAAGTCACCAGTTTCAACTCGACCGTCTTTGTCCTGCTAGATTACTTGTAATCATCCTGGAAAATTGAAGAGGCAAGGCGTGCCGGCAAACAGGGCAATCTAAACCTGTGCGAGAGGATAGTTGCCCACAGCTTGGCCTCCACTCTAACCTGACCAGTCTCTAAACAGCCTTATGTTGGAGATGCCCCTGGGCGCTCCTGAAGCTGCCCTTAAAAATCTAGAAGGAATATACTTAATGCCATGATGTCAGGTAGAAGCCCCAACTGGGTGCCATGTAATAGCTGAGTTAAGGTCTTTGCCTGGAATAATTAAAGAGCTGCAGGGAAATAGTGGCCGCCTGTAGAGCACGTAAGTTGTGAATGGCCAAAGAGCTGCTCCGAGCTGTTGTGGGCATGTGTTCTTCATGAGCTCTTCTAGAGCCACTTGAGTGGAAGATTTTTTTTTGGTTTAGTCAACAGTCGTGCCCGACCCATCATGACCCCATGGACAACATTCCTCCAGGCTCTCCTGTCCTCCACCATCCCCCGGAGTCCATCCAAGCCCACTCCCACTGCCCCAGAGACCCCATCTAGCCACCTCATCCTCTGCTATCCCCTTCTCCTTTTGCCATCCATCGTTCCCAGCATCAGGGTCTTCTCCAGTGAAAGTGGAAGATAACTCCCAGATATTTCAAGTATAATACTCACTTGATCTTATGATCATCAATTTTGCACGAATGAATTTTAGGCACCCTAGCAAACGCCATGACATTGTTTTTTCAACAATTGATCGTTAGGCTATTCTCTTGACAATAGAGCATCAGTGCACTCAAGGCTAATAAAATGACCGTATGCCTTCCTGCAATCTTTGGGAGTGAAAACTACTGTTGTTAAGGTAATCCACAATTGAGCCAATGTAAAAGTTAAATAGAAGTGGGGCCAAAATACATCCCTGCTTAACTCCTTTCTGCGTAGGTACCACACGCATCTCAACGGATGTACCTCTGCACAAGACTGAATAAGCAGTAATAACCATTGGTCAATGTTAGAAGCTTCCAGTTTCTTCCATAATTTAATTTGCAAGATGGAATCAAACACTGCTTTAAGATCAATAAAGGCAGCATAAAAGGAGGTCACCCCATTCGAGAGAGACTTCTCAGTGAAGTACTGAAATACCATACATTGGTCAATGGTAAACCGGGTCTCTCTAAAACCTGCCTGTTCTGCTAGTAACTTTCCATGTTGTAACCAGTCTTTAAGTTCACCATACAAGTGTCTTGCATATTTTTTTATTAATTTTGCGATTTATATGCTGCCTTTTTCCTACAAAGGGCTCAAGGCAGCTGACATCATTCTCCTCCTCCGTCTTATCCCCACAACAACAACCCTGCGAGGTAGGTTGGGCTGAGAGTCTGTGACTGGCCCAAAGTCCCCCAGTTGGCTCCATGGCTGAGTGGGGACTCCAACCCAGATCGCCTGAGTTCCAGTCGCACGCTCTTAACCACTACACCACACTGCCGCTCACACTGGCATATAACTCACTGACAATGCTAGGCTGGCTAATAGGTATGTAATTGTTTGGATCATCTCTCTCGCCTTTTAAAAAAAATTGGAATAATAATTGCAGATCCCCAGTCTCGAGGCATTTGGCCACACTTATCGAAAAGTGATGCCAAAACCAGCACCCGGAGTGTCTTTGCTGGTATAAGGTCTTCACCTGCGGCATTGCCCAATTTCAACTGGCAACTCAGCTGTGGATTCCAGAGTCAGACACTAGTGGTCATTACGGTATATTCTCCGGATCTTGTATCAAGGAAATCTTTCTCCCAGATCCCAGGGTAGACTTGGCAGTTGGGGGAAGCTAGCCCATGGTAGGGGGAGATCTTTATGCACTGGCAAAACAATTCAGCATGCTTGGACTTGGGGGCCTGCACCATGGCCTGCCTTGTTCTGTGTGCCAGCAAAGGTTTGTACGATTTTTCCTGGAGGAGGAGATTCTGCATTGCACTCACTCCGTAGTTACATATCTCAAATATTCAATTAAGGTTACAAAATGTATCTTCTATATTTGCATCATTTATGTACTACTCTGTATTCCAGTAGGAAATTTCAGTGTCGATTTTTTTTTTTTAATGAAAAGGTCCTAATAGCCAAGCAGGCCCCCTCTGCCCCAGCACCACCTTCGGGAGCCGCTGTAAGGGAAGGCTGGCAGAAGGAGCCCTGGGGGATCGGGGCTGGCGGTTCCCAGCACCTCTGTGCTCGGCAGCCCCTGCCTGGGGGAGGCTGCTGCTGGTGAACCCGCAGAAGCCGGGAGGGGGTGCTCCGAGCCGTTGGGGGCACCTGGCCCCCGTGGCAGTGAGGGGCCTCCAGGTTCTCCCCACCTTCCACCCGTATGTTCCAAAAGCGGATCAACCCCATTCAGCACAAAAAGGAGTCCCTCCCCTTCCAGGATGGGGGCCACCAGGTTCAGCCCCTGGGCTTTGGCCCTCTCCAGCCCACCCCTGAATCGAGGCACTGGTCCCAGGCTCGCTCAGCCTCCCCGATCCATCAGGGGAGAGGGGAAAGTGTTCCCAGCAGGCCGTGGTTCAGTCCCAGCGAGGGCCGGGCCACTCCAAATAGTCTATATCATATATATTATTCTTGTATCGCCCAAAACACAGAGCTTGATGTGCCCTCCAGAAAGATTGGATGTTGGCCGAAAACAAAGCATGAAAGAACAGATCAAGTTATTTAGCAAACTGTCTGTGTTTGAGGCAGAGAGCTGGGAGGAGCAAGACCTCGGCTTTCTGCATGCAGACTTGCGATTATAACTAAAAGGCTTTCCTCTGCAGAGCAAAGAAATAGATTCTTACTGAGAAAGAAAGATGCCATACCGTTTTCAAAAGAGCCTTTTGCAAGTTGTCAAGGACTCCTCTTTGAATGATCTTGGAAAGGGATGCAAGCAGTAAAGTCGAGCGCCTTTACTAAAGGCTTCCCGCTGAAGAGGCCGGGCTCCTGCAGTGGTGCAACGAAGGGGGATTGCTATGCCCTTTATTCAGGCGGACGACCCCGAAATCCAAGGAGCTGGTGGTGATACAGCGGTAGAAAGGGAAACTGCAGTGCTGCTTCCACGTTTAAGGAAGCAAATCCTCCGGCGCCAACGCTGCTGCTCCATTATATACCCTGAGTGAACAAGGTCCTGTTTCGCTTTCTCTCTCGTCCTTCGAATTCCCTTCCCGCTGTGCCCCTGCCGGGACTTTTCCAGCCCCGCCTCCAGCCAACCCAGCAGGGTGGGAAAGACCCTGCTCTGAAGAGGCAGGAAGCGAAGCCCCTTCATAGCTGACAGCCGCTCCTTCTAGAGGGGGATGTGAATCACTCTTGTCTTGGCACAGGACGGACTGTTGGCTTCCTGC